ATTCAGCTATAGGTCCTTTATCGCCTTAAAAGAAATAGGGTGAATACAGCTCCTATGCACTCCAAACTCAAAAACTACCCCTTTTCGGCTTCCCGTGAGGCCAATCCACGTATCCCTTCCATTTGCCTATCCACGCGAAATAAAGGGTATAAGTGTTGGGTGAAGTGTTGGAAGTAAGCCCAACAATTATGAAACAAGAGATTCCTCGAAACCCAACTTTTCTTCGTAAATAAAGGGTATGCCAACAACAATACGGCTATAGAAGGGAGTGTGGGATATGTTATTTAAGGCCTATCTTCAAACTCGTTCAAAATGTGGATTCGGAGCTAAATCAAATTTATACATTACAATAATTCTGGCGATAAAGTAAATACATAAGGCCTCTTTTCTATATATCCCTGATGGCTAACTAGATTTCGAGTTCTTAATGAAAATTCGTATTATTTCACTTGCAATGAGTTTCCACCCAAGGTGGAATTAAGTTTCCATTTCGCCTGGATTTAATGTGTTCTCCAAATGAGATTTGGGACCAGCCTGGGTAGGTTCAGTAGCAAGAATGACATATGGCGAAGAGGTTTTTGGTGTATATGATAGAGCAAACTTCGTCAGTACATCATTTATACACTTTACATAGGCGTGGTCAACTCATCCACATCCATATGCTTTTACACAGAAAATCATCCATGGTTTTTGAGACCAAGTCACCTTTACTACTATATTTCATACAGAAACAAAGGAATCTGGTTAAAGGTAGACCTGAAAAAGAGTTGAATAAAATTGCTTACAGCACAATGGACAAAAACACAGCGGCTTGCGGATTAAGGAGATTAAGTAATCTACAATACTAGAAGAATAAATGACATCCCTAATAGAGGGAATGAGTGTACGAAATGCGGTTCGAGTCCCGTTGGGTTACTAATCAGACAAATTCAAGTGAGGTCGAAACTGCAGTCCACTGCTGCCTGGATGAGTATACCTTTCGGGAAAAAAAGCAATGTTAAATTCAATGTAAAAGGGTGGTTTAATTTTGTAATTGTGGCAAATTCACAATCAGTTCTTCATCACCTTAAACGGCCCGGGCATACGAAGGTTCTTCTTCAAGATCAACTGATAGTCTCAAAATCCTAACTCATTCTCAAAATATTATCGTGTTGTCAGGGTCAAAGTAGCCCTGATTGTTGCCAACCTCTGGGAATGTACCAAGTCCACGGTCCGACGCTGGAAATTATCATGACTACTATTCCAAAGGATTTCGGGCAAGGTTTGTTCATCTAGGCCGCCCTGACAACACGATCAAATTTTGAAGTTGAGTACAAACTACTCCTATACAGTAAGAGGATACCCCTACCAAGGGGTACATCCTCTTCTTGTTCATACCCTCTATTGAGCTTCATAGTAATATTAAGCGATGGCAGGGCAACAAGCATCCGCTGTTGCCTTCTGGTGAGCTCGGCCTACCAATATTTTTTCAGGCAATGCCATCTCAGTAATATGAGATATATTCAACCTATTTCGCTAAAGGTGATGAATGACTGGTAGTATAATTTTCCCACAATGATATGAGTTGAGCTGACGTTTCCATTGAATTTCAAATAGCTTTGCTTTCCCAAAAGTTGTTCTCATCCTGGCTCGACTGCAGTTTAGACCTTGCATAGGTCTTATCAACACCCTTGGCGGGATTCGAACCGTGACAGGGCAGCATGTGAACTTGACAAATTGACCACTCGGCCACAGTGTCACGAGTGCCCTTAAATCACAGGGCAGATGTGAATTTCGAGGAAGGCTAGGTCTTATCCCATATGACATTATTTTGTAAGAGTGTTGATGAAGAAAATCTATTTTTGTTATAAAAATCGACTACATTATTTACTTTTCGTATATAGGCAGAGCTTCGAGACTACCGGTAAATCAGTTACTCACATCATTGTGGGAAAATTCTACTACCAGTACTTCATCACATTAAACTAAATATAGTGACTACATCTCATATTACTGATTTACTGGTAGTCTCGAAACTCTATTTACATACGAAAAATGTTATCTTAGGCGCATTTTGCATAGCCGCGCCTGGACTGCAGTTTCAACCCCGCATGGATCTTATCAACCCCATAAACTTAATCTGAAACCAAATCATCCGATAAGGTTAACATTCTGTCACACAGCAGGGCAGCAGACAAGCCAGGCTTTTCCCAAATGTTCCTCAATAATGGGACTTTTGCCGAAAAGGCAAAGTTGTCATTAGTATAGATGACACTACAGCCTAAAAAGTGGGCATTTTCGAAAATATCAGTGGATCATAACTAAAGACTTCAATCAGCTTAGGTTGGCTGAAGTGACTCAGACTTGCAGTGAAATCTAGATTCGTATAAAGTAAGCGTATAAACTATTAATAACTCTTCAATAATAGTTCTATTCATCCTAGGTAGCATCCGGTGAGGAAAGAGTAATAGTTGAATATTTCCACAAGTTTCCATTGGATTTCTTTAGCTTTGCTTCCCTTAAGCATTCTCATCTAGGATGGACTGCAGGCTCGACCTCGCCCGGTCTCATTAGCAGTCACAATGGGATTCGAATCAAGGCAGTGCAGCGTATTATTTTGCCACTTGATCACAGTTTCACTTACTTATCAGGAATATAAGTAGTGTAATTGATTATAATGGCAAAATACACGTTTTCCTCAGCGACATTCACACTATAAACGGGATATTAGAGTTCATCCAATTGTAAGAACGAGGCCGAAATCACTTGAGGCATGAGTACAGTAAGTGCATGTTTATGTGAAGGTGGGTGTAAGGTAGAATGACAGAAAGAGGATGGACAAAAGTAAAGGAAAAGTTGATGGATGAAAAATTAGTTGCATAAACGCATGCCAGGTCTTCTGGTGTGTATGGTACATGTTTGGCCTCCTGGCTTGAGTATTTTCTCCACACTACCTTTTGATCCTCATTCGCTGTAGCCTCGTTCACCCTCACTTATGCACAAGCATACAAGGGTATGTAGTGAAATTCGCGTTTCCTCTCTAACACATTGGCACTCGTGGTAGGTGACATGTCGAGGTTATTTGTAGGCAGTCCACAAGCCAAAGTCATGCAATCCGGAGAGCTCGGCTTCATGGTGCAGTGCTCGAGCCGGCGGCTGACACGACAGACCGGCCGGGATCATAGTTAGCAGTCTTATATGTTCCCTCGGAGGCATCACCACCAGAGGCGCGGTGTGCTCACGTACAGTTAACGTGTCAGGACAACATTTCTCCTCGTCTCGTGTTGCTGTGTGACTCATTCACACCGGCCCTTGGTGGCGTGGCCTGTGTCTTGGTGGTACAGAGAAGACTTTGATAGCTTTCATCACGTAGTGGGAATGAGGTCGGAAACTTTTGACGCATGAGTACAGTAGCGCATATCTACATGTACTTGTGTGTGTGTGTGTGTGTGTGTGTGTGTGCATGTGTGTAAAGTAGAATGAGTAAAAAAGAATGATTAAAATTAGAATAAAAGTTGAGAAATAAAAAATTAGATGTATATGCACATGCCAGGTCGAATTGTATTTTTTTCATCCGCTCCTACCACTACATGTTTGGCCTCCTGGCTCGATTATTTTCATCACACTACCTCTCAACCCTCATTCACACTCACTTACA